AAACAACTGAAGGGTCCAAGAGCTGAGGTTCCTTTAGGTTACATAGATAAGGTAAGTTCTCTTGTTCCTCTTTATATAAGTAAATGGCAAGATGTGAAATCTCCTGTTATAAACATGTTCCACTACATGACAGCAGTAATGCGTAACTCCATTAAAAAAAAAAAAAAAGAATCCACGTAGTAGTTTGTCTGTCACAACAGGAACAGTGAATGGGACCACACTACACAAAGGACAGGGACTGCATATCTCTTGAACAGTGTATGTCACGCTGGTAAAAATAAAATGCTAGTGAAAATTCAGTTTTCTTACAATTCTAACAGGCTGACTTTAATATCACATGGAGTTTCTAGATGGTACAAGGCTACTTGTACCTCTGTACTGACATACCTCTTGGTACTGTGGTATCCTAAAAGTAGCTGCCTGCAGCCATTAGTCATGAAGTTTAGGATTACTTCTAAGTATTCACCGCAGAGGAAGCTGTACTCCTCCTTTAAAAAAAAAATTGTCATTATCAAAAGCGAATTTTTTTTTTCAGGCAGTAGGCTTTTGGGTATGAAATACCAACATTTTTGTGGCCACTAAAGGGAATAATGAAAACCAGCAAGAGAAGCACAATTTTCACAACTGAGTTATCAGTATGTTTAAGTGCTTTCATCTTTTTTAAAGGTGGCTACTTAGAGTAATCAAAAGCCATTTTCAACCAAAAGAGAAAAATAATTTTTGAGTATGAAATTACAAAATATTGCTTCTTATAACAAATGATAAAAGTATAACTAGCTTCATTCAGCATAGATAAATATTATTTTTAAAAAGCATGAAAATGTCTACTTTAAAAAGGTGTCAGACTACAAATGACCTTCTAAAAAGGTGCTGCAATAAGTCTTGCTAAATGTACCATGTTGGAAACAAACACATTCTTGAATATGTACTGAATTCAACTCTTATTTCTCATTATGCTGTGGTCACTTGTTACTTTTCATACAGACATACACTTCTTCAAACTAAGAAGAAAAAGGTCTTAGTTGCATGTTACTGAATTTCAGCTACTGTAGAGCAACTAGGAATTCTGCTCTTTCTGGAGTATCACACCGCTACACAGCAAGCTTCTCTGCAAGGAGCTATTTAGTTGGATTTTCAAGCAGCTGATATATTCAGTGCAGTGAAGGGGACGTTTTATAGCTGGTTTGATGTCTCGACTGAATCCCAGCATTACTCTAACAGCAAGTATTCTGCCAACTCAAAACGACCCCCTCACTTAACTGGCCACACATTACTAACACAAATATAAAAAGTGCTTAAGAACCGGGCATTCTTGGTTATATAAAATGCACATCTAAACAACTTAGTTTTCTGCCCAAACCAGAATTTTTTTAACAGATTAAAGAAAAAAGTGACCCGGAAATTACCATTTCAGGCCACTTTTTCCATATACTGAATCATTTGCCAAAGACTACTTCTTTGCCAAAGAAAGCCTCCTGTGGAATTGATGGTCATAAGTGCTGGCTCTCAATTTTCACAAATGAAGAGGAAAAGTAATCTTCAACTGGGGTTTCTTTACTTATGTCAGGCTGTGAATCACCTGTTTGGGAAAAAAAGAAAAAGGAACATCTGAAAAGCTAAACGGCTGTACAAATACTCTCTGATCAACATATTAGGCAGTTTCAACATGCAATACCGAGCAGTGTCTTCAAAAGCCTTGATTCTCTTTGCTCTCGGCGTAATGACACAGTAACTCTGGAGCAAGGAAACAGAATATGACCAGGTCTTTTTTTGCCTTCTGGCATTATTGGCAGTGAACACAGATTAGAGTTTGATGATGCCCAAAATACTGGATCAGAAGACTACAGAGAGGAAAATCTCGCTTCTTATCTGTTACTTCGTCTGTCACTATCAGGAACTCAGGTTTTGCGTTACTTACGGTACTCTTAATGTACTATAGTGATTTATGTGTACCATTACGTACACACGCACACACAGATATGCTTGGGATACTTTCAATAACCAGTAATCTTCTGATTTTTCATACAGAAGCTACTGCATCTTTACATTGCTTGTTTAGCTGTACTTCTGATACATAGAATTCCTCAACATTTTTCTATGTGGTTTTGAGTGTCCACAAGGAAGGAACTGCTCTTAAAAAAGTCAGTCATAACTTTATGTAGAACTTAACTCTTAAAGCAGGTAATACAAGTGACGACTAGATCTCCTGCAGGAATTAGTTACTATTAGTTTGTCTTCAAACTTCAATAACTAATTAAATCAGTGCACGTTTTTAGTACTCCTTGCACATGATTTAGGGCACCTTTTGGCATTTGATAAACATACATCATTATATCATATTTAGCCTTCATTCCTAAGGCAGATAATTGCATTGTATTTAGTCTATAAGGATGTACATGTAATAAGCATAGTTCTTAACATGTGTGCCAATATGCTTTTGTGTAACTCTTTTCAACCTAAAATCTCTATGCAACTGGCTTTTGTACATGCAGACCTTACAGTTAAAAATCAATAGGTCAATCTTAAAGTATGGTATTAAATGGATAATTATAATTATAGTAAATTATACTAAAATTACTAAAATTATAGTAAATTTACTGATTATAGTAAAAAGTACTATTCTGCAATTTCTTCAACAGACTTTCATTAGATTTTACTCGTGTAATATATTCTGGATAACCGGTCTGTGTGTTCAAGCAAGCAGAGCCATCTATGTGAAAAGTATTTATTCAGTTGGATTTCACAAGGGATTTGTTTCAATCTCTGTTATCCTAGATTATTCTATGTGCTTCCATAACAGGGGCCCATTTTTCCTTCCTGAGCTGTTAGCTGTTTTATACAACCATTTTTCAATCAAATCTGTACTATCTGTTAAATAGTCTCATCTCCTGAAAACAGGATTGTTTTCAGAATAAAATATGACATTGCTAAGAGAAAGCAGATCCCAGATGTGTGAAGAAGCCCAAGGAGCACACACGCAGAATTCTGACACTGCATCCTGCTTTAGGTCCAAGTGACTTCATGGGACCTCAGCATTTGACAGGAGTGCATCCTTAAAAGGGGAAGATGCCATAACTGTAGACTGGTAAAAAGGAGATGACAACCAGTGTGCTACAGGTAATGAATGGCAGTGATTTTCAACCTGCACTCTGAACTGCTTCTATGGGGCTGCAAAAGATAGCATGAGGAAAACGTGTATTTATATTGTATGGCAATGTACAGATAAGACTTCTAAGAGGATACACTTCCAATGGAAAACGTTCAGGAGGTCCACCAACTAGATTAAAAAAATTCAAAGTCATTCTTGGAAAATTCCTTCCTTTTTTTTTTTTCCTAAATGACCCATAGTATTAAAGAGTATTCTTGCTAAAAAATGCAAACAATGATCCCAAAGAGTAAGTTAGATTTACTAAAATCATTAAGATAAATCACAAAGTTTAAATTGTCTCAGTTATCTAGGAAATGAAAAGAGAATAATTGCACTGAGAAAGTCAAGTCGGTTCCAAGGCATGTCTTCTCTTATAGCTATCACTTGATTTCTGAAGGGCTGCGGTACTGAGAGTTTTCAGTATGCAAGTACAGAAAAAAGTTACATCCAAACAAAATTATTTTCATTTTGCATTTCAGCAAGAGTTATGTACACCTGCACTCCTGGATTTTCAACTCCAAAACTAGCAGTACATTTGGTATGGAATAGAAGGGGCATGCCATAAGTAAACAGTATTAAATCATTAGTGTGGCCAATGGCTAGTTCATGAAGCAATAAAGGCAACATTTATTTTCCTTTTTCAAAATTTTATGTATTATTATTTGAAAATAGCATACCCATGGAACAGTTTGAGACACGGTATTTCACAACAACATTCAGCAGATGATGTGCTAAGTCACCATCACTTTTTAAACAGCTGTAGCACTTTATCAATAGTCACTCTCCAACCACGGTAATAACTAACCAGGGTAGAAATGCCTAATTGTAAACATCCAAAAAGGTTATCTTTTTCCTACTGCTAGCTGTGTTGCAAGGATTATAAATATTTATGTGCCATACTTTTGAAATAGCCTTTGATTTCTAAACAGATTTTAAAATTCTTTACAGATTGTCATACCTCCCTTTTCTCCAAATTTTAAGTTTAGTGGGAACTTTCATTGAGACAAGTTCATCCACATGCCAGTAGCAGAAAAGAAGCACCACAGAAGAATAGTCCTGTATGCTGTTGTTGTAATCAAGAATCTCTTTGTGCTACTGATGCAGCCATAATTTTGAAAACTAATCTCTTGCCAATTTCTGGTTTGTTCTGAAATCATTAACTTCATCTGCTGAAGTCTAATATCTGCACTTTCAGGCACTGTAGCTTATTATAATGCAAGTTCATGGGATTCGTATTGAGTGGCAGAAGTATATATTTGTATATTTATTGTTTATAGTTTGGAAATTCAATTAAGTCAGAGAGTTTACAGATTGAAACCAAGCTACCAAACAGTCCATCACACAGGGTAACAAATGAGATTTCAATGCGTTCAGCAGTCAAATCTAACCGTCCTTCACTTGGAGCTATTCAGTCTGAAGTGATAAATGTGCTAAATTTTTACAAGGCCAGAAGTAATTAGAAAATAAGTACAAGGTGTGTTCAAGAGTGATTGTGCTGCTTTGCTACTTAAAAGCTTTTTAAAGCTTTTTGGTAAGCTGCAAACAGTCCCTTCAAATTTACTAAATAAAATAGAGCTTTTTTTAGGAGCAGTCCTGTCAATATTCAGCAAAAGTATTCAAACAATAAAAGGCTAAGATGTTGCCTAAAAAAAGTTTTCTGTACTATAAACCTTAAATTCTTTGAAAAGTCAGTGATACTAAATTCATATATGCATGTTTTACCACGTTGGATGTCAGACGGTTTAGTCACGTTCATACTAAGTCTCCTAGATTGCACAACCTGAGGCATAGCCACTACTGTTATACAAAAGTGTTGAAGAATTTTTTTTTTAAAATGTAGGTTAATTACAGGTTAATTTTCCCAGTCTGTACAGGGCAAAGTCTCCTCTTCATCCTCTGATTCAGGTGATGCTTCCTTAATTCGTCGCAATGCTTCATGGATGCTCCTTGTCAGAGGGTCAGTATCAGGCAGAATTGTAAAGGATTCTCTCAAAACATCTTTCTGCACTTTCTTCAGTTTCACCCCTTTCCTGATCTGTGCCAAGATGTTATTGCTATCATCTTCATCAGGAAAAGGAGGGAGACTTCTCTGCTCAACTTTTCTTAAGTGAAAGCTGCCACGTTTCAAGGAAGCCAGCACTTCATCCATTGGGGAACTCACTGCAGTAAATCAAAAGACCTTCAGTATTATTTTTACTACATTTTATCAGTCTTCATTTATATTTCCTATAGACCAAAAAGTAGCCGCATACTATTAATGTGATAGTCCCATACCATAACGGTAGCTCCAATATTTTTTTAGCCTCCAAATTTATCTTCTCTCTTACCATGTGAAAAGCGGTTTATACAGACAATTACAATTTCTGAAACCACTTAACCTCCTTTCTGGCAGGTAGTAAAACTTTTTGAACAAGCTGGCTTTCCTGTTTGCAATCAGGAAAATCAAAATAGCTGCAATGAATCAAACACAATGAAACTGTTTATTACACTTTATTATCTTTCTTGACTGAAACTCAGGTAATGAGTACGTATCTTAAGTACTGGACTGTGCAATCCATTCTCAGCACTTGCATTTTGTGGCTGTTTTTACTTACTGTATGACTATTACTACATGCCAGTGAGGGAAGCAGCAGCACAGTCAACTGCAACAGCATGCATTTTCCTGCTTCTCTGGATTCGTGTATGTATTAGCACCTAGTCACAGCATGCCTATATAAAATCCCCTTCCTTTATAATTAATGAAAACAGAAAAGTAAAAGTTAATACTTTATCACAAATCCTTCCTTTATCACCAATTTGAAACTAGTTCTCTGCAGAAATAAGTCAGGCTTTGGCTCCCTGAAGAGCTACAAGTAGGTAAGATCTCTATTCCAGAGAATGCATTATAATAAAGTACAACAGTTTGAAACAGCTCACATATATTAGCACATACAACGTGCAGCACAATTTAATAGGTGAATATCCATCTCCAGTTCTTTTTTGTTTATTGTAGAATACATTTTTTAAACCTGGTTTGCATTTATGAGTGGGCTTTGTCCAGCAGACTCATGGCCCAGACAGCTGGAACAGACATAAGGGAAAG